TCTCAAGGAAAGCATTTAGACCTCAGCTTTTTTCTATTAAAGCTTTGTCACCATTTGAAAAACTTAGGTAAGAGACAGGAGTTTGCAATCCACATTACCCATTGCTTGGTCTTTTGGTATCATGGAAGTTTTCATTAAGGGACTTGAGCTTTTTTAGGGGCAAACGTTTTTAGAACCTTCTTTTCAATTATCAATGATGTCATCGGAACATGTAAATAAGATCAATAGAAACTTGTTGACATTTCAAAAACTAATGTATTTCATGTTAGTTAATCACCTTTGGTGAGGATTTGTACTATTAAAAATCCAGATTCAAACTGAGATAGACAAAATTCCCTAGAAAACCATGAAAATAATAGCTCTAAGAGGTCCACAAGTGACTAGAAGGAGAAAAATAAGTCCTTCTGTCATCAAAAACCTCTACATATCTCTCACTTCAAAGGATAAATAGGCCTTCAAGTACTTCACAGCTAGTTCTTTTTTCTTTGAGAACTTTCTTATCATTAGTATCAAATATATTGCTTGACTTTTGTTGATAACTAAGAGTCAAGTTTTTAAGTAAAGAGGTTTGTAAATAAGAGAGAAAGAATAGAAGCGACTCTTGAAATCATACTTCAAATTGTTTTAATGAAAGTATTAAGGCTTTATTAGCAAAGAAGTATAAAAACTTCTTGCGAACATCTTTTTTATGTGTGGTCAGAGAATTAGCGGAAAGGTTATGGGAAAGAGTTTTTTTTTTTCTCTTAATTATATAAATAAAAATTATAAAATTTATTATATCTTAATGCTTATTTTATTTTTTATATTTTTTTTAAAAAAATTTTATAAATAATTTTTAAAGTTTTATTATTATTAAAATTTTTTGTTATTTTATTAATTATTATATAATTTGTAATAAAGATTAATTAAAATATTTAAAAATAAAAATTTAATAAAGAAAACATTATAAAAAATTTTTTATAATGATAATGTATAAATATTGAACTTTATAATTATAGAATAATTCAAATTATAAAAATTTAAAATATTATTTCCTATGTTACATATAGAGAAAGAAATTTTAATAATGAATGAGCTAATATATAAAAGTAATTTAATTTGTAATTATTTATATTGATTTATAATAAAGTCAAGTCATGTTGGTCAAATGTCAAATAAAAAAAAAAAAACAAAAAAATTTTTGTAAAAATTTATTTAAAAAAATATAAAAAATCAAATAAATATTGAGATATAATATGTATAAATTTTATAATTTTTGATTATATAATTATGAACCTAAAAATAATTATATTTAAAATTTATATTAAAATATAGTATATAAATTAAAACTTTAAAAAAAAACTATATATTGCATATATTTTTACAATATTTATAATCAAGTTAGATTATAATTTATTAATTAATTGAATATATATATGCAATTTATTTAGTAATATAATATACTGTATATTACAATTAAACTATTTTACTCAAGTTTAATAAACTTATTATAAATAATAAATTTGATCTTGAAAACAATATTTTACTCTATAATAAAATCTAGAATAAAACCTTCTTACTTCAAACATTATAATTGGCAGATTGTTATTGCTATATACATATTTTATCAAGTTATTGGAACACTGAAAACTGCAAAAGAAAATAGTTAAAAAAGAAAAGAATATTTAGAAATATGTAAATGTGCAAAAAGAAAAAAAAATTGTCTAGCTTTCTTAAAAGATTCATTTGTTGTTCATGTGTTGTGTTTCAGTAACTTGTTAAATGACAATATAAATTTTTTACAAATTTATTTTAAAAAAATCAAGAATCATTGACATTTGTTTAAAAAATTTTGATTTAAATCAATTAATTATCAAAATAAAATCAAATAAATCAATAATTTTATTTTTTAATCGACGAATTTAATGAATGCGTATTTTTAATTATTGAACGATTTATTGTTATTTAATACAACTTTTCGAATAATAAAAGTGGATACAATTCGAGCAATTAATTTAATTATTAAGTCATACTACGTAAAACTATTAACGAGATTGAAGAAATCGAAAAATCTGCTTTATAACCTTTTCATCTAAAAAAATTCAAAACCAATGATATATCTAAGCAATTGAATTATTGAAAAAAAAATATATACTGCATATATACTGTATATGGGTAATTATTTTCGAAGGCGGGCAGGGATTTACCTGACTTTATAATTGTACTCCTAGAATTTGATAGACCAGATTGTAAACAACTTTATTTTTCCTCTATTTGCAATGTGCTGTATTTATTTCGATTGAAGGATCGACATTTGTAAATAGTTTAATTGATGCCAAGTCGATATTGTTGATTTTTTTAATGCAATAAAAGAATTTTATATACTGTATATGTTGTAAGTAACAAAAATTTTGGCATCCAATTATTCTTGGGGGATTACTTGTACAGTATGCTCGTTTGAGTGACAACCGTGATCATCAAAAAAACTCGCGACAATTGTAAATGTACAATATATTTAATATACAGTATTTACTTTATTGCATATTACATGTTCACATAAGTTATTTTCGGAAGCGGACAGGGTTTTCGGATCCTAAAAAAATCAAATTAATTGTCCAACTCTGGGCATTCTGGCATTCGGTCAAGAGCAACACGCCGTCATCTATCGTTTACAGTACTCTCTCCCCGTACCCACCGACTTATGAGAGGATCTTTTTGATGGTCACAAAAAAAAAAATAATAATAAAAATAATAATAAATAATAATAATTTTATTTATATGTACAGTACAGTATACAGTATTGATTGGTAGGTAGACATGCACCGTTGAAATAACCATTTCACAGGGGGGATGATACCATAAGGCGGGACTCACGGTATTAATGTAAGGGTTAGGTAATTGCATTCGTTAAATAACAAAGCTACGCAAGGAATATCTTTTCACCAAGGCATCCCAAATGTTGCATTTAAATCCCTCCTGGTTTACGTAATTCGTCGTGAAATTCCTCTATAAATGTTTTAACATAATGATAACAATAAGATTTCGTGTATTGAGGGAGACATGACGGCGTTATGGCTTTGAAATTAGGAATTACCAATTAAATTTCAAACATTCTTATTGCACAACATAGGCTCGCTACACAACATTACAGACGTTAATATGTTTTGCTCTGTACCTCCGATTGCATTAATTAAATTTCCAATTTTGGAATATATTGAGGTCACGAGGCGAACGTTAATTGTGTTAAAATCATCCGATTTGCAAAGGATTCACGCGTCGTTTAAAAACGGCTGTTTAATCATCGATTGCCATATATTGTATATGACACTTCTTCATCTTCATAAATAAAAAACAAGACAGTTGGGTGATGATGATTTCCTGTGTTCAGTATCACCAATGTTTCTTATGCTTTACAAGACATGCGTACACAATAACAGTATCGGGTCTAAGGGAAAGAGAGACTATCTTTTTTTATATATAGGGCATTATAATAATAAATTTCTGTTTTGCCCTCAAAACCTTGTTTTTAGCGTGCTCTCTCTGATTCACAACACCCGATTACCCCATAAACACCAATATACCACGATAGCCGGAGTATTTCTACAACCACCAAGATACTCGGTAAAAATATAAGGTAACCAACCTGATGTTCGATTTCCATTCGCTTCTTCACGTTGCCTCCGGTTTACTTATCTTTGCTTCATCCCCATCACATTGCACCATAATACATCAGTACCATAAAGTTGGTTAGAGGCACACAACTACTTTAACATTCCTTTATAGTATACGTCATTCCTTTATCATTCACGCGATACTTCCACTCTTGAACCTTTTACGAAAAAATGGAAGCAAAACACAACCTCTCAGAATCACTTCTCGTTCGTCGCCGAAAAATCTTTGGCACATGTAAAGGTTGTAATCAGCCAAACACGAATTTTAATGAATGCAACACATGCGAAGAATGGATATCGATTCAACAATCAAAGTTGAATGAGTTAAAATCTCAAATTGAAGAGCGAAAATTGCTCATAAATCGACAAACTTGTGAAAACTGCGATCAACCGAAACACATTCATCACCACATCGCCGCCTGCGGAGAATGCGGCTATCCGGAGATGAGGGTCGAAGATCTATACGAGTTTGCTATTGAGGAGGACGAAGACAAGGAAAATGACGAGGAGGATGGTTGCGGGATTAAAATGTCGGACCTGTTATGTCCGAGATGTGATTCCAGATTGCAAGGTTTTCTTCAATGTCCAGATTACTTGGAGGTAATGGACAGGATAAGATTGGAGTTGAGTGAGATGAGCGTAGATGATCCTGATTATCAAAAGTTACTGGATGCCAAGCAGGTAATTTTTTTTTTTTTTTGTTAGATTCCGGCACCTCGTTTTCTCAAATCCCGCTTACATACATCCATTGCATCGATCGCGCAGCACTACGATATACTTATTCAACAACAAGAAGAAGATCAATGGATCACAGAGGAGGAGGATAACTATGAATTTGAAGAGGAAGACTGGAAACGAGAATTTTTTATAACTAAAGAACAATTCTATTTTTAATATACGACTACCATATAACACAAGAAACAAGATTCCAGTGTGATTTTAATTTTATTTATTATGTTTTTAATAGATTTTATGATTTATCGCAAGACCGAACGATCTCTTGAAGTTAAATCTATGCAATATTATTATTATCAATATATATTTGCAAAATCAGTGCAATAGCTCACTTTAAATTTCACATGACACACTTCCTCTCCCGCACACGCCCGTGATGAATTCTATGTAATCTATTTTTACAGATTGTTTTATACACAAGAGATTTTTTAAAAAAAGATGAATGCACTTTATCGAAATGTTCTGGCTCTCAAAGTCTCGCTCGATGCTAGTTTCTTGTCATCTTGAACACTGTTTAAAGTATTGCGGGTAGTGATGGAAAGTCGAGGTTAATGTCGCTAAGCGTGTCCTGTTATGTTTTGTGATAGTTGTCGGCGATTGGAATTATTTCCTTTGTCCGTCATGGCATATGCATTTCTAATGTCTGGCAAAGATATGGAATATCGAAGTGAAGGACGTTTGTCGTGTTTTCGAGGTTCGGAAGCCATCACCCGTGATGCCGCGGGTGAAGGGTCGTCTGATGACGGTTGGGAAGGTCGAAGTTGCGGTTGACTTCTCGAGCGCCGATTCAATGACTTCTGATTTTGGTGATGACCTTGCTGTTGCTGCTGAGGTCTTTGTGGAATCGGTCGATACAGTGGAAATGGTGGATTGGCACTATGGCGATACATCCTGGGGTCTGTTGAGATAAGGTGTTGACTCCCCCGTTGGTGCATTTGTATTCTCTGAGGATGAAGTCTCGAATTTTGTTGGTGAATATACGCCGACGTTCTGACACTTTGTGGACGATTTACGTCACCGTGATGAAACTTGGAGGCATGAACAACATTGTAAGACGTTGAATTTCGTTGAAGTTGCGGTAATTTCACATATCTTTGATCAAATACCTCCGGGAATTGTGAAGCACTACGGACAGATGGTTGCGGTGGTAATTGTGACATCCGATGGGCGAATGGTTGCGGTGGATGATTTCCTCCCGGCAATTGTGACATCCGATGGATGAATGGTTGAGGTGGTCGATTTTCTCCGGGAATTTGTGACATTCGACGAGTAAATGGGCGAGGCGGTTGATTTTCTCCGGGAATTTGTGATATTCGATGAGAAAGTGGGCGATTTTTTCCCGGTAATTGTGACGCTCGTTGAACGAATGGTTGCGGTGGTGGATTCTCTTCCGGGAATTGCGAAGACTCTAAACCATCTAAAAGATTGTCATGTGATTGTTGACCTGTCGGTCCAGTCGATGACTTTCTCTCTTCTTTGGGTTTCACCTCTATTCGCTTCACGCTGAGAATCGTTATAAGCCCCAGAGCAATCTGATGAAAATGGTGAGACATCATGTTAACGGAATTTGACCGAAAAAAACATGTGACCAAAGAAATCTTCGTACCATGATGACTTCTTGTGCCCCAAAAATCACGATGCCTGCTCTGGTGTCAAAGTCTGCAACGTTCTCGCAATTTTCAATATGCCCGTCGGTGACATCTGAGCCCACACAATTTTTTACCATTTGCTCCCTCGACATAAGGGAAAGGGTAATCTTTGCGACATCGATCAAGGTCAACACCAATAAAGCGAACCAGTGATCCTTCACGTAACGTCTTGCCAGATACACATTGTTCTTTAATTACGGCGGAATGAGATTAGTGTTCGACGGAGTGGTAAGATGACAAATGGTCAAATGCTCGAAAGAAATGCAGTCTCACCTGGATTCCTCCAAATATTCCCCACAACCCAGAGGGCGAAACCATCACCTCGATGACTGCATAACCAATCAAGAGTGGCTTGTTTAGGTGATTCGCAGTAACTGTTGGTTTTTGTTTGAAAGAAATAAAGAAACATTACTATTATTCTTATCCTTCTTTTCATTATTATTACTCTGAAGTCTCCCGTCACACCCCCACTGTGTCATCTTTTCTGTGTGCAATCTTGGCACTTTTCCCATAACCAGGTCATCATAAACTGATAGTTTTCCACTCACACTATAAAAAATAACCACCACTCTTTGTAAACTCACAATTTAGTCCCATGAAAGTGACGATGGCGACGGATAACGGGTAAATCTGGGCGAAGGTTTTCAAAGTTAGAAAGAACAGAATGATCTCATCGAAGAACCGCGGGAATCTTAGAACCCTCTTACCAGTACCAAAGAGGAAACGAACGTGAGGGTAATCCGCGCCAAGGTGCGACTCATAGTTTTGTTGAGGCTTAATTAACTACGAAGATGTCAATTTTTTTCGACCTGTGAATGAGACTAACATCAGGCCAAACAAATAAATTTAAAAGGGTTAGCAATTATTCCCAAGACAATCGATCTAATTATCTTTATTTTTCTTTATTTTATTTTATTTTATTTTATTTTTCTTTTCCAATATCAGGTCTGCGGCGGGTCAGGCCTTACGCACTCTGAAAGGTGAACCTTCAGGCGGAGCTTCTCTATCGGGTCAAGGAAGATTGCACAGCGGGCGAAAATTTTACAATTTTTTAGGGGACTTGACTTGTGTGAATAATGTCTACGACCCTACCATAAAATAATCAAGATATAGCAGCTGCGGTAGATATCATTCATTGTGGTAACAAAGAGATCCGCAATGTTTGGTTCGTCTTTTAAAGAAATTAAATGATAATAGAAAAAAACAAATACACCAATATTTAGGAACATATTTAATGTTGCATTTAATTATGCCGAATTCCTTTTCTGGAAATAAAAGTTTTGGGACCTATAAATATATAAAATGAGTTGCATGAATAATCGAGAGAAATGAAAATTGTTGGTTGGCAGGGGACCACACAGAAAATCTTATATAAATGTATGATTGTGCTCTGGAGGCAAAACCATTCAACGGTTTGTTACTCAAAATATGAGGCACATTCTATGCTATCGCGGCGTAATACTGGAAGTTCAAAAATAAAAATAAAAAAAAAAGATGCATAGATTGATATATATATATATATATTATTAATGGGGTAAAGTGGAATGATTCTGCGAAAAAAAGGTTGCACACGAGAATTAAGAATTTTGCACAAATGTATAACGTTTAAAAAATAAAAATAATAATGAATGTTTTATGGTCTAAACAATCTGCATATGCGGGATGAATTCTGTTCAATTCTTTTTTTTTTTTAGGGTCCCAGACGTTAATGGGAAACCCTTTAGAAATTAACGCACGCCAATAATGACGCAACTAATGGTGCACGACATAAGCACGATAACACGATGTGAAAGTGAAAAAATGTTAATAAAAAGATTAAGATTTTATTCCTCAGAAATCGGCACTTTTCCCATGAAAGCATGAAAACGTTGAAGTTCTTGCAATTAAAGAACCGGAACCCTGGAGGCCGACAGACCAGACACAGCTTCGCCTTTTTTCGTACACAAGATGAAGGCATATCGAATATACCGCCCCCACCTCCAAAGCCGGAGAAGGAGAGGTCATCTTTAAAGACGTACCTTTCGAAAAGAAGGAACAAACGAGAAGCTACGTCTCGAGAGGTTCGTGCCTCCGCCGTTGAACTTGTAACCATAAACGAGCTAAAGGAAGAAATACAACAACGCGAGGCCACGCTGGTCACCTTGGACAAGAGGATTAAGGGCATAGAGTCCGAAAGAGACCGCGCCCGCACGGAGTTACTGAATGCACAAGCGCAGCTAAAAGATCGCGGTCAAGAGGTCAGTGACCTCAAGAGCCTGGCCACCGAGCGCGACCAAATGATAGAGCAGTTGACCGACATGGTGAATGAGCTAAAAGAAGAAAGAAGCGTAATACAGATTGAGTGCGATAAGACAAAATCGGAACTCAAGTCTCGCGAAAGTGAAATAAGACACCTGAATTTGTCACTGCTTGAATGCGCTCATGACCTGCAGTCCACCAAGACCGATCTCTCCGCGACGATAAGTGAGAAAGATCACGCGCTTCACGACATGCAGCTGAAACTAAGTGAACGAGAAAAGCTGGATCAATCCAAGACCAATCAAATACTTTCTCTTCAACAGGATCTTGAGTCAGCTCAACAGGACCTGCGCAATGCTCAGAGCGAACTAGAGGCGACGCGATCGATGTGCGACGCCGAAATCGAGGCAGCTCAGGCAATGTGCACAGCAGAAATAGAAGCAACGAAAGCGAAGTGCACGGCTGAACTCGGCGTCATAAAAGCAAAGTATGCAGCGGAACTCCATGTAGCCAAGGAAGAACACGCGGACGAACTTGAGGCCACCAAGGCTCAACTTTCCTTTGTCAAATCACAGTTGGATTCGACCAAAGCTCAACTTTCCTTTACAAAATCAAAACTCGAGTGGGCCAAGGCCGATCTTTCCTCAATAAAGTCATTGCTGGATTCGGCCAAAGCTGATCTCACCAACACGAACAATAAACTCAAACGAACCACGGCGGAATTGGAATCATCCAAGGAGGAGATTGAGAAATATGTGGAAATAATGGCATACAGAGACGGTCTCACCTCGCTGATAATATCGGTCTACCAAGAGGATATACAGAGCGAAAAGGAACGAGGCAACGTCGAACTTGAGGAGAAACAGGATCAGCTAAGCAAGATAAAAAGCTCATATGAAAAAGAGAAGAAGGCAAATACCAAGACCATAAAACAGCTAACAAATCAAGTTCAAAACCTCACCAACTCACAAGGTAAGAACTAGTTTGTCGAATAGCATCAAATTTGTGGCGCAGCGGGTAAACAAGTTTTCACCATTTCAGTGCAAGAAAAGGCCAAAATATACCAACTCGAAAGCGAGAACATCAAACTGCGAAAACAACTCGAACAATCGAAGACGCAAGGTCAGTATAACCTCATACTATTTAATTTGCACGCAGAATTTCGTTGCCTGAAAGCGAATTCGTAAAAGCCCTAACAAACGATGAATTAACTATATTAGTCGATGATGCTGAGTTAATGAAAGAAGAAATTTCTAGGCTACAAGCCGAAGTCATAATACTGAAGAACCCACCCAAGAAA